TATATATATATATATATATATATATATATATATATATATATATATTCAATATGTTAACTGTATATACCAATATATTGAAATAAAGAAAACATTCAATACCATCAAAGCTTCAATGTTTGAATGGTTTGTTTCAAGCAGATCGAGCAGATCACTTAGGATCTTTTCTCTGGTTGATATGTCCTTGCAGCATGACAAGAATTTAAAAATAAGTACTAAGATCTGAGGAATGACAAAGTGTGAACCAGTATCATTGTGACTATTTTTCTTATTCTTCTGCTTTTCAGGCTGATTGTGCTTTTGCAAAACCTGTAAAGATAAATTTTTGCCCAACATCAGAAGCAATAAAATGTCAAGAATTCATATGCATCACAATTTAAATATTTTCAGTAGTAAAAGAGATGGAAAAACAAAGAACAGAGTCTGGGCTGGATTGGTTAGGGCGGACGATTTGCAATGCTAATTCCCAGGCTCAATTCCTACCAAGGGTAGGGGCCCTCTCCCCTCCCAAAAAAAAAGAAAACTTTTTGGATACTTTGTAAATCTTTACCTTTAATACAAAGATAATGTTTCTCAAAAAAATAAAAAGAGAGATGGACTAACTCTGCAGCACACTTCAAATAAAGTCAATCAAATGCCAATTCTCAATAAGTTTCTTATAACACTACCTGTTTAGGACTAGCACCACCAAGAAGGACATCAAATAACGTGGCATACAAAGAATCTGTCGGTGGAAACATGAATAGCCTGTCAGATATTGCACTAAATAATGTCTGTGACCCTGGGTTCACTCTTCGATTGCTCTCTGAGAGAGACTTTGATCTTCCGACTGCAAGATTAAACAATCTTGGTCCCTTCTTTTCCAAAGGTAATCCAACCAGAAGTTTTCCAAGAAACTGCAATCCCTGAAGTCTGACTGGCTCTAAGTCCCTGGGAGGAAAATTAAAAGAAACAATTCAATTCGGTTACATCATCTGTCACATCTACATATAGAATCATATCCTACATGTTTGATACAGCTCAACAATAAGAGTCTTAACAGAACTTTCTACTTCTTAACAGAGCTTTCTACATTTAGTCAAATACAATTTTCCGTTGATCAATGATGCATTTGATCTCTTGGCAGTTTTGAAACAGAAAATAGGAGGCCATTTATGCTCATATAATGAATTGAGACAAGGCATCATAATTAGAATAAGTGTAAAGCAGGGCAGAATTGCTCAAGGACATAAACCGAGATAGAGAATGGACGATTGCACAAATAACCAAAGAAAGACAGCAGACGATAGAAATAAACATGACAGAAGAAAGTGGACGATAAGAATTCTACTAGGAAGTTTATCTGAGGCAGTGATTAGGGGTTCGTCAAAATCCAAAAGCGTTGTTTTTCTGTGTGTGTGCGTGCTGATTGCATAGATGGGATCTACACGCATGCCAAATTTGGGGCCCAATTTAAAGTGGCTCATGCAGTGGTATAAGTTCATTGGCTCACATAATCCTTCCCCATATGTGCATAAGTTCATGTGTGCGTGGGTGTGGGTATGTGTATGCATGTATGTCAAAGAAAAAAAGTTGTTTTTGACACTAATAGGGATTCGCAAATATGGAATTTCCATAAAAGGGAAAGAAACTTAGACTTACAAGATAGAAAGAATGGGAAAGCAAATGATTGTCATTGACTGAATGACTAAAATGCAGATATGAAGCAGAACGAATATATATCAATTTTCCTGCTCATGTTAAAATAAAATCGCAGCCATGCAGAACAAAGACAAAGACATCCAACATTCAGAATATGGCATACTGAAAGTAAACTGACTCCAAGATATGTACCAATGGAAAGAAGAAAAAATTAGATTCATGGAAAAAGCCTCTCGGTATCATAATGTGAAAATCAAGTACTCAGTTCCTGTTTGTTGAGCCATGGATACTAATAATAGTACATCATCAAGTTATACAGGAAAGTTTTGTGTTGATATTCTAAATTCCAAAATAAAAATTACATACCTATGGAGCAGGTTAAGAAAGATCTGATAACCACCATGCAAACTGACTTGCTCCAGAAAAGAAGTCAACAAAGATTTCTGAGAAGTGGCACGAATGATCATGTGCAATACATCTTCAATGCATACCATATCTTCACTTTTCTCAAAGAAAGCAATGAGAGATTTTACATCAGATGCCGAGATATGCTGCCTGTAAATTTCCAAAGACCATTAGAATAAAAGATTGAAGAAAGGCAGTATTGATGAAGATTGTCATGCCTGAATTTGCGAATACGTATACAATCAGCGAGACCAAGTCTGCAACAAACTGACCAAAATCCCACACCATTCATTGGCACACTAATTATACTAAGCAACTCATATACCTCAATGTCATTTCGGCAAGACTCAGTAGAAGAAGACGCAGTTTCTGTACTTCTTGACGACTTGGCCTCATCCCAATTATTTCTCCTGTAACAGGATGCAATAGGGGCTTGCTTCCAAAAGCAGATCGTCCTTTTGATTTATCCCAGTAAAACTGCCTTATAATATCAATAATCCTTGGGAGTCGACAAAGACTTGTTAACAAATGGGAGTCTTTGTCAAAGTACTGGACAAGGAACATGTACAATTCACGTTGCACTACATAATCTGTGTAGATCCATATATGAGCATTCAGAAATATCCTTGAAATGGAATCCGGCAATAGAATCTTTGACATACCTGAATGAATGCTGAAACACAAATTACTTGGGTATTTCCAAAAAGAACAGCCAAGATAAGTAAAGACAAACCCATCAATGAAACACACAAGACTGAGAGAGCTACTTGGCTTTACCCGAATTTCCAACAACAGTTAGCATACGTTTCAATGCCGAAACAGTTTCCAATGTAAGTTGCCGTGGAGGGACAGACTGCAGTAAAAATCCAAGGATAGAAAATCCAGAAAGAAGATGCATCTGCTGCTGATTTGCTAAATTATCATCTAAAACAGAGGCTATAAGTTCAATGACTTCAGCAGCAAGTCTTTCTCTCAAAATAGATTTCAACATAGAACACTCCTCCTGCTCACTTTTTGACTTTTCAGTTATACTATCAAACTGATTCAAAAGTGGAAAAAATACTGAAACACCCCCCACACAGTAAATTATATGCTGGAAAAGACGTCGAGAACATAACTGGGTTCCAGCCATAACTGTGGCTTCACAGCAATGTTTATCTGCTGTTTGATCAAGCAATGGTGTAACATTAAACAATCTTCGACCATCTGTAGCCTGCAGAACATTAAAGGCAATTAATGCTTGTTAAAGAGTAATAGCAAACTTAAATAAGAGAAGAAGAGGAAAATGATCACTAAAAAAGAGAACCTAACCTGCGCATTGAAACCAAATAGTATTTTTGATGAAAGACCATCCTTTGAATCCAGGATTCCATTTGAGTATGCATGATCAGAAACAGCTGCAGCCTCATTGCCAAGGAATGAGTACATGTAACTTGGACCAAGGGTGTAAATGCCCTTCACATGCTCAGAAGAAATAGAATCACCAAACATGTAGATTGGACCAAGCTGACCAAAGAAAGGAAATGAATCTCTGATAGCAAAGACATCATCTCCATCTTCAATTCTAGCAAGAGGAGATCTTGTTCCGATTGTACAGCAACTCAATATCTCGTTAACCTTTGGATATCTGCAAGCACAAATAATTAAAAATTTGTAATCTAATCTGTCATTGCACTATCTAAGATAAAGCGATTCTATTTAGGGAAATGAAATCATAGAAGTAACTTGGAAAAAGAGAAACTGAACAACTGGTGACAAGAAGCAAATAAAGACCTGCACTTTTCAGTGGCCACAAGATCTCCATCCACATAGTACTTCAGTGAGCTCCCTCCAGAAAAGGCCCTCCCAACGCTATGAGTTATGCACAGGAAATACCATTTTTTACTAACAAGGTCGAATTTCAAGGAAGCAATCTGTCTTTTCTGGCCAATAGACTGCAAATCAAATGCACATACTAGTTATTGCATGAAAATGCATGCTTGCTTTAAGGACATATATGCAGCCATAATTATTTATTTATTTTTAAATAGTGACAGTATATATGTCAAAGTAGTTAATTACAAAGAGTGCTCAAGAGAGGGGACTACAGGGCAGCCCACAAGGCGGGTGCTCTAATATATATTAAGAAAAGGTAAGGAATAAACAGAAAGAGAAGACAAAAGGAATCGAGGCCACACCCTTGTAAGGTGATAGGTCAAGGGGAAGGAAAGGTAGGGCGCGAGGGGGCGAGGGACGAATAATGGGAGGAAAAAAGGGGGACACTATATGAAGAAAAGGGAAAAGTTTGTGGAGGGGAGAGAAAGCTCCATTGGTAGATTGGGGTTCCACCAAAACGGTAAAGGGAAGAAGAAAAAAGAAGAAGGGACGAAGCAGAATAAGTATAGCAAGAGAAGTAGACAATAGATAATGAAAGGGGTAGGTGAGTAGAGAAAATAGAGAGAGGGATGGCCCACTTGAACATGTAGTACATACAAAATGTACAAGAAAATCAAGCTAATAGAAAAGAAACAGAGGCACTCGCCAAAGGACTGCAGACGTCAAAAATTAAGTAGAGATCACCCACAAGTTGAGTGGGCCACCGATGAAGAGCAACAATCAAAAAATCTAGTGGAGGACTGACAAGTGGGGTGCTCAGCCACTGGAAGTAGGGGAGAGATAGGGATGGTCCAAAAACTGAAATAACCTGCAATCTGCAATAAAACTCTGGGGCAAACAGCTGGAGAGGAGGGGGTAAGTAAGTGAGGATTTTTTGTCTGTGTGTGTGCGCGTGTGTGTGTTGTGGGGGGGTGGGTGGTGTTGGTCGGGTGGTTAGATAAAGAAAGAGGTAAATAGAAGAGAAGAGAAGAAAAACAGAACAAGGTAAATAGATAAAGAAAGAGGTAAGAGATAGAGAAAGGGGTTGGTGGAGGACGGGGGTGAAAAGAGAGAGATTAAAGAAGGGAGGGAAAACAACCAAAAAAAAGAAGAAGAAGAAGAAAAGAAAATCATAAGGTCCGAGAGGGCTCAAGTTGGCAGCACCCACCTTGGCTGACATGTCGGCCTTTGCGTTAGCCTCCCACCAAGTATGATGGAAGCACACTCAAAGTGGCATGCATAAACCAAAAATACAGTAAGAAACAGAATCAGGATGCCAAGGACATTGACTGCCCTATTCGACCCAAAGAATTACATTGGCATTGTCTCCTTCCACAATAAGGTTTTCTCCCCCAACCTTGAGAGGCCTTCAAGCAGCACATTGCCCCTGCTTAGTTAGAGTCGCCGTGACGAAGGACTCCAGAAAAGGAAGAAAAAGAATTGTTGCCACTGTCTCTGAAGATGCACCAGAAGGCACAAGGCCCCAGATTTCGAGAGAGAAACCGTCAAAGTTTAATTTCATGGAGCCCTGGGAGGTTGGGGCTCACCGGGAGAAGCAAGTGGGCTTGGGAGATCTAAATTTTATTAATTCTGCCCAGTGTGAGAAGAAGTATTTTTTGGCAATATGCTTTAATGGATTGAAGTTGGACGCCCAAAATAGTTAGGTTACGAGTGGCCTCTGCAATAGATTAGCTATATTCAAGTCAATTTGACTTACCCAAAAAAAAAAAAGTCAATTTGCCTCAGTGTTCCTTGAGCTTCCCTCCCCCAAAACGGTCCAAAGAACTGCCATAAGAGAAGCTCTTCGAAGGGGGATCCCAACCTTGGGGTACAGAAGGAAGAAGGAGGTAAAGAATTGGTCAACTGATTCAGGAATCATCCAGTGAAAGTTAAAGTCTTAAGTATCAATTCCCAGAGAATGAAGCAAGCCTATAGTGAAATAAATTCCTACACCTGGAAAGGTCGTTCTAGCCAAGCAGCTTAGTTTGGAGAGATGGACAAGAAAAAAAGTTTGGACACAGCAGCAAGAGCTAGAATAGTTGGAGAAAAGACTTTGGAAGAAAGAGATGATGTTAGAAGCAATATCTGAAAAGTCCGTAAAGGCATCCTAGCCAGCATAGATTTGGTTAATCAGTTTACTCTATATCTGGAACTAGCGGACTTGTGGAATAAAGTTGTGTGTCTATCACCAGTCACGAGCCATTTGATTCTAGACAGTTGAAACCAGAATATTTCCTCCTCTTAAAGGAGTTCCGAAAGGAAGAATTGGAGCTCTCTTCTCTTTGAGGACTAGGTGGGGAGGGGCCACAACTGTTCAAGTGAGTCTCGAGAATGGATCTTGGAGAGGAACAAGATTTTCACCAAGTTGAAGTTAGAAGGAATACCCCGGCTTCAAAGTTTAATTGTTATGTTTGATGAGGTGCAACTCTTTTTGCAGACTGCGACCCACCCAACCAGAAACTTGTAAAACTTGTAAAGAGGACCACTAGAAATTAAAAAGGTTGTCAAAGCTGGGTTCTTCCAACAATGCAAGCTTCAAACTGAAGGATTTGGGCCTGCCGGGGCAGGGGGAGTTTTGGTTTTTCTGGACAAAAAGATGGAAAGCAAGAAAGTTCCTACTTAGTGTGAGAGAAAAGAATGAGAGGTCAGTTCCAGATGATCCAAAGACCCCCAGAGGAACCCAGAGCCTCTAGAGACACGCATTAAGAGACGCATCTAACCTAGACAATACAAATTTCAGGGAGGACAGGAGAGGAAGATTTGGTTTTGAGAACCGCAAGAACATCAGGAGATTTTTGGAGGGAGAAGGATATGAGATCCTCCTTTCTGCGAGGGTTTCCAAGATCACGGATGCTAGATACAGCAAAAGAGGAGGCTTAAACATTTGCAGGAACATCAAAAGTAATAGAAAATAATAGAAGGAGACTTAAGTTCAAACCTAAGCATGCATTGGTCCTCAGAATGGATTGAGGACAGAGAAACAATGGCAGCAGGGAGCAATTACTCATTACCTTACCAGCTTTTGACCTGAGGTAGTTAGCAATGTCCATAGCCAGCCTATCTTAACGTGAAGTCCATTGTTTCGAGCATGTCATCATGAAAGGTTCTCCTCTATCAATCCTCTGAAGCTCAAGTGATCCACAAAGTCCTGCTGAGCCCACACATGAGGTTGATCCTAGACATATGAAGGACTATTAGGCTCTAGGAGAGGGTGGGGATCTGAAGCCTGCACTTGGTTATCTTGAAAGGGGTGGGGGTTAAAAGGGAGAGATTGAGTTGCAGAAAAAGGTGGTGAAGGAGGGTAAAAAGAAGCAAGAGGAGGGGCTGAGAAGAGGAGGAACCAGGCATTAGAGGCCTTCAAGGAAGAAGGAGAAGGAATAGGAGAAGAAAATTTGGGTCGACGGTGAAGATTTAAGTTGGGGACAAAGGGGCAGGAGGGGTTGGTGCTGTGTAGGTGGGATTAGAGGAGGAGGTGGCAAAGGGGAGGGATGAAGGTACAGAGGAGGTGGAAGTGGGAAAAGGTTAGACATTGGAGGAATGTAGAGCGAGGGAAAAGCCCTGGAAACATGTAAATTGGTGAAGGCACAAATCAATTCAGGGGGTAGGGGAACCAAAGCATTAAGCAAGTTGAACTCTGGGGTATGGAGAAAAGGAGGAGAGAAGGGATACAAAAGTAGCAGGACTCATGTGTCAAGGTATAAATGATTTCAGTGAAGGATAAAAAGGAACCGGGGATTTGCATTGGAGGCACAATGAAAATGTGAAAATGAGGTGGAATGGGATTGGGTTTGGAGGAGGATGCCAGAAGTTACGGTGCATTCTCAGCAGGACATGGGCTTGAGGGGGGGTAGGAGAGGATAACGGGATTAGCGAGGGTATGACTCAAGTGAGAGGAAGGGTTGACAAGACGAGTGTATGAGGGGATTAGAGAGTGTGAGACTCAGTGAAGGATAAAAAGGAACCTGGGATTTGCATTGGAGGCACAATGAAAATGAGAAAATGATGTGGAATGGAATTGGGTTTGGAGGAGGATGTCAGAAGTTAAGGTCCATTATCAGTAGGACATAGGCTTGAGGGGGGGTAGGAGAGGATGACGGGATTAGCGAGGGTAAGACTCATGTGAAAGGAAGGGTTGACAAGAGGTAGGAGTGTATGAGGGGATTAGAGAGTGTGAGACTCAAGTGAGAGGAAGGGTTGACAAGAGGATTGTAGCCAAAGGGGCGAAGAATATGTGTTTGATGACATGTGGACGGTCAGACACAGGGATTGAGGGTTCCATCCAAGGTGAAGGAAATGGGTAAGCTGTGGAAGGGCTGTCAAGTGATCGTCCACATCCTCTGAGATTTGTAGTGCATGACGGTGACAATGGACCACCATAGTCCAAGGTTCTGGACTGTGGTCCAGAGGAATGGGAAGGATCTTTGGAGACTGAGGAGTAGGAGAGTTGGCATGGTGATCCATAATGGTTGGAGACGAAGGATCAGGCACAGTATTTTGAGGCTTGACAAAGATGGAGTAAGAGTGAGGTCCAAACTTGAGAGAGATGAATCCAGGAATGGATTCTAACGAAGGAGATTGGACCAGTAATGAGGCTGATTCGAGGGGAAGACTCTAAGAGAGCCTAAAATCATGCTTCAAGAATCGTCTACAGAGATCACCTATTGCTTTTTAAACTACCAGATGAAAGTGTAAGCTGGAATACCCTGAACATGAACCTAGAACTGACAGGGATAATAGCCGAAAAAGCACAGTTCCAGAACAAGGTATAGTTTACCATTCCTGAAGAATAGATCCTTGGAGAGAGCCGCCTTGTCCCTCAGCTGCTTGGAGGAAGGAAGTCAAATATGCACATTATGAATGGGGCTACAACAGATGCCCTTGGATTCCCAACTAAAGGCCACCCATCTCTGAATATTTTTTAAGTCATGCCTGGGAGCTTTGAATTCAGCTATAAAGGAATTTTGAAGAAAATCTAGCCTACGTTGCAGGTGGCTTCCCATAATGAGGAACCAGCTTGGTCTAATGGGATCGAGGGTAGAAAGGAAGAGACTTCAGAAGATACCTGGATATGAGCGTCAGA